GAGAAGAAGGGCTGGTTTCGGAAATTCGCTTCAGTCCTCACCAAAATCCATGCAAAAAGGGAGAAGCCAACGCAACCAACAAATTTTTCTTGCGAAAGTCACGTCTCGACTCGTGCTTTCGAAATATTCCTCGAGGATTCTCTTGTTGCGCCGAACCCATCGCCTGGCATACATCCCGGTCACGATCATGCCCAGCAATCCAGAGCAGTAGAAAATGCCACCGAAAGTTCGCACGTGCGGCTGGCTCGAGCTGTAGAGCAGGCGGCCCACGTTCAAGAATTCGATCGCCGGGCACAGAAGCAGGTCTAGTGGCCACCAATCGACTCCCTGCAGACGACGGAATAACTCCAGCACCTTCATAAGCAAAGTCACTTTCCAGCAGACATCCCTCATCAAAGTGCGGTCCCCAGGCTGGAGTTTGGAAATCACTTCTTGTCGGTTGTAGCGAGCCAAATGGCGCCGCCTTCATTCAAAATCGGAGGCATCGATGCCCCGTATTGAATTGTCGTCCGCGACTTGGTCACAACTCTCTCGGAGCAATAGCCGGATGGGAAGTCTCCCGCGAGTCATCGATCGCCCAGTTCCATCGATGTCCGACGCGTACAAATTCGGCGGAGCTGAGGGTGTAGACGGGAAAGACCATGTCGATGGCTGAGCAACCAAGTGAAGACAGGACCGAGGATCCCACGTAGGCATGCCAAAGACTGAAGCGGGAATGCAAGGAGGTATTCTGCAGGCGGAGCAAGGAGGGAACATCGAGAGTCATGAATGGATAATGAATGAGGTCATTCAAGAAGTGGATACCACAACCTTATGGCTTCGAAAATGAATTCTCATCTAATAGCGGGCACTGCATGCAAATCGGAGGTGCTTTGCACATCGATCGTCGCTGTGTCGAGCTCTAGGCGTCCAGTTACGAGGCACAGATCCATATTATTAGCGGCTTCGGAGTTCACAATCACAGCGATGTCTTCTCCTAAGTCATCGATGGTAATATCGTGAGCATATACTCAACCATTCTACGTACTTCGAAAATGATCTTGTCGGGACTCCATGGCTCTGCTTCGCATGATTTCGTCTGCAACGGAAATCATCGGATGAATTTCTTCTTTGACAATTCCCTCTGAGATGGTTTATCTTTCTCCGAAAAACCTGTGTCAACAAGTCACCGCATGAAGTATTCGAAATATGGAGTTTTATCGATTCGTCATGTAGGTTGGGTGATCCGATGAGTTCTGCTGTTGAGAAAGAAACTGATTGCTTTCTTTGAGCCTTCCGAGCCTGTATCTCGCAACGGGAGTCCAAATTCGAAGGAGGGGTGATAATGGAAACTCATAAGACCCCAAATATGATCGAATACCATGTTTGCCTGAAACTCCCCTCAGCACTATACAACTTCAACTCTCATGCTCGAACACGGAAATTAAGTTTGATGATATGCGTGCACCAAGTCACCTGATTGACCACTACATAAAAGATGGTACCTTCTAGACCCTGGTGCACCCTGGGGCATAAGTAGCTGAGGTAAGTAGCTGGTTGCTGCGCTTGGGGCGAAAATGCCCCCGGAAACACGCCATTACTATGACGTGAGCTTGTACGAGCGATTGTCCTCAGCAACGATTTCAATCGCGGGACAAATGAGAAAAATTACGGCTCGCCAATCGATCGCGCTCAGACGGCGCGAAACATAGTCGGTACTCACAGGAATTAGACGTTGTTCCCCCCACCCGAGTCGTGGTGAGCTTTTTCCAGTCGAATAAAACCTTGTTATATCTCGTCATTGCTCCTGATGAGCTCCACGTCTTAGGTACGAGTAAGGATAGAGGGATCGATATAGGAGACTGATCCGACTTCAGATTTCGGGGGCGTCTCTGACGAGATGGTCGCGGGTTTCTATCGACCATCACGCGAACGATTCGCTCTCGTTCATAATTCAGACCGGCGATCATTGAGACATCATTGGTGGAACCTGCTAGCGCTCGAGCTCTTCATCCTAGGGTTTGTAAGGCAGGCCGACGGTTTAATTGATATTCCGTTTTGATATTCGCTCCCTATGAGAGAGAGGATCTCCAGAGGCATGTTGGCGAGCATTCGAGAGCTCTATTTGCGACCTTAGCCCTTCCCCGGAGTCAGGTCCCTCACGACTCTCGGAGGAATGAATCGGCACGAAAGGCACGAGACCATGGAGAAACTCTTCCCATGAAATTCAAGGCGCGATTTCTCGGTGCCTACGAGCTCCGCGGCTTTCTCGTCTATTCCCTTTGATATTTGAATTAAGGGTCCCGACTTCCAACGAGCATGACCTGCCTCTACGAGAAAGAGCGTGATAATCCCATTCACGACCTGCGAGCTGGCTCTCCGAGCTCGCAAGGTTCCTGATCGGGATTTTGCGGCTGATTGGGACCTCTGCTGTGTTCTTTGGAGGAGAGAGGTCACTCGGCTGTACGCACCACTCATCGCTGCAGAGTCGTTGAGATTCCTGACTTGACGTAACACCGTCGGAAGCCCTCGGGGGCTTATAAGGCAGACCTTCAGGGTTATCGTTCTCTGAGGATAGATAGATATGACAATGGTGGATAGATAACGCTTGAGGTGGCTTAGATTGACCCGAATTCCGATGCAACTCTTGGCTTTCGGCGAATCATCCCATGTCTCGCACCGGAGCTCTTTACGTTACAGACCGAACCCGAGGCTTAGCCGGAATGGAGATCCTCGAATCCGCGGCTACGGAATCCTTTCAATGTTGATCGTATCATCAGTCGAGCGAAAGGTCTGCTGGACGCTAATTCAGTGATGGAAGTTAGAGATTCCGACCGCAGCTCGTGCATTCGAAAATAAACAATGCTGCAGCTGACCGGCGTTTCCGGTCAGCTGAAGCTCTTCCCCACTCGATCCAAGAAAAAAGATTCCTGGAACGGAATGATTCTACTCTATTAAGCAAAGGAAACTTTCTTCGAGCTTTTCAATGGTAAGTGAAGTCCGAGGTCCCTGAAAGTATCTTGACGCTCGAGAAAGCTACGGTCCCCCTTGTGGCATGTTTTTGTTGTGATCGTCGCTCATGGGAGTCCGCTGGCACCGAAAGTTTCCATCATGCGGTCTGAAAAACACGATAATTGTTCCGTCTCATTACCGATTTGACGATCAGTGTGAGGCGCATCTCTATAATCTCCTCTAAATAGACCATTTTGAACATCAGACTCGTAAACACTCGAGGTTCCTTGCGGAGTCACCGTTTTTTTCCGTCACCGGCTCGAGCTCTATTTCGAGTCGGTCATTCATCCGCTGGTGAAAACCGCGTGGAAGATCGTCGCAGACTGACGCCCAAGGAATCGATAATTGTTCCGAGGATATTGATTAGGGACTTGCGAGACGAAGGTCTCGCTGCGAGTTTCCAGGCATATAGTTCTCTTCCTGCGCTCGTCCTCTTCCTGACCCAGCTTCATGATTCCTCGCGAGTTGCCCCGATGATCTAGAACATTTTCCACTAGGTAACTTCTCGAATGCGTAGTCTCATCTCGTAACGGATTCTCTATCGCGGCGGGAAGGCCCCTAAAGAGATAAGGCTCGGAATTGTTTGTCATGGCTGAATGACATCCAGTTCTACGCATGTTTAAGCTCGAGAGAAGAGGATCCGGAAGAAATCAATTCTGGCTGAGATTCCGAGCTTGTGATGACTGTCCCACCGCCGACGATAGAGATCACCATGTGCGTGAAATTCCGAGTTAAGCTGTTGTGTGAGACGGATTTCCAGCAACCTACTCTCTCCGCTGATTTCTATCCATCCTTCCCCACTCTGCTTTGTCATTGTCTTTTAAGGCGAGCGGTCAAGAACGGTTCCCGTGATAATCTAGCGAGTTCCTTGCCACAGGGCGCCTTGACTTGAAATATTCCCCAAAACGGCTGTGTTTGTGCGAGTTGCATCGTCAGTTGACCACAATCGATAAACGAATATCCCAAGCTAGCTGCTCGAACTCAGGCTAAGAATCGCATTTGCTTTTCGAGATCTGTGCTTCTCAACTGAGTTTAATTGCGTGCGGCACAGTGTAGAATGGACTCTCGAGTGGTCTTCCTCGGATACTTCGTGGCTCCACGCGACTGATTGATGGTACCTCACAGAACCTGGTCAGCACTGCCATTTGGCAATAGAAAGAAGGGTTTGAAACGCGTCAGGAAAAGTCGGAATAGCTGCAGCAGAAGTTTCAGGAGATCGAAACGAAAAGGTCAGTGCAGAGGATAAGATGGCTTTCAAACTAAGCGTAGCACCATTCCGTGACAATGCAGGTAGCAGCGGTGAGCCTCGAACGAGATATTTTCCTCCGAAGTCAATATCAGGTACCTAATCGATTTTTCACAGCGAAGCACGCCCTCCGGGCTTAAGCTAAGTAAGGCTGGCTTCATTGCCTTAGAATGTGAGGTCGAAAGCCTCTTCAAATCGAGTGACTGCAGTCTTCTCAGAATACACCGATTCTCTGCGACATAGGACTGATTAGCTGATTAGATACCGTTATTGTCGATGCGATAGAATCCGACAAGTCGCGGTTACAGAAATTGGAGGAGGGGGGGAACCGAGAGTCTCGAATGGGTATCGGTCGGTATTACTGCAGAACAAAGATTGACGACTCTACAACTATTGCTCATGTGAGCCTCCAAATCTCTTCCGCGGTCACAGATAATGACTTTCACAAGCGGGACTCGTCCGGCGGAGGCAATCTCGTTCGATGGAATTTTCCTATGCTCAACCGTTGTCAAAGAATTCGACAATAAATATTCGAAAGGATTCTCCTATCGACCAATACCAGCCAAATTCCGTAATTCTATCGAAGTCGCCAGTTTTCTTTCCCAAGTGTCCCGTCACGAAGGAGATTCGAAGAACTGGATTGTCCCAGATTTAAAGCGATGATTCCTTTATTCTAGCGAAATTTAGTAACTCTCCCCATCCTATCGTCGATCTTCTCCCGGAGTCTACTGTTAAAACATGGTCAGTGCGCTGGCCGAGCCTCTGCTTGAAGTTAAACCCGACAACAGCTCCGCTTCAAGCTCCGGATGCAGTTCGAAGGAATCCTCATCGGATGAGTGGCTGATAAAGAGATCATCGGTCTACGAATCATCAGAATGCTCTCCCGGGAGAGGCTGGAATTGTTGCAGCGCGAGCTCATCCTGCATCGGAAGATGGCTGCTCGGAAAACTATCCGAGACGATCACCGTGCCCGAGACATTGCTGTTGACCTTGGTCGTCGGCGTGAATTTCCTATCGTTCTGCGCTGGAAGCATGTTGGCCCCGGTGTTACCTCAACATTTGACATCAAAAATGGCCCAATTCGGGGGAGAAGGTGGGAGGACTAGAATCATTTGATCGAATTTCATTCCGATCGGAGCACTGGGTTATTTGGGACTGCTGCTCGGGATACTACCCCAGGGGGAAACTTTGCGCCCTCTTTAGTTCCTAAATCAAATGCCATCCGGCTTTTCAGGTGCCGCCAGTGAAGTCGACGTTTCCATCGCATTCGTGCTGTACGCCGGCACCTCTATGCTCTTCTCGCTTGTTTTCGGGCCCCTGATATCGCGATTCGGTATAAACACCTTCTACTACTTCGGTCTGTCGACGGTGGCGCTCACAAACATCGCGCTCGGAGCTCTCGATATCCTACCCATGTCGAGCTACCGGCAGTACATTTTTGCGCAGTGCGTGGTGAGTACTTCCTTATCTATTTCATGACCTCTCTCACAGAATGGAAAACCGATGCGGTTTCGCGTCTCATGTCCTCGTCCAGAGGCTCCTCCAAGCGCGCAATCAACACATGAGGAGAGGAATTGTGACGCGATTACCATGAAAAAATTATCTGAGCTCTTGATAGCGCGCTTCCTCCTGCCATTATTGCCAAAACTCCAAAGCTGCTGGATTCTTCTCGGGTATGACAAACAGTACCAACTCGTGTACGATTTGCTTCCCGCATTGATCCGCGAGCTTTGAAGGGAGGCAGACTTTTCCCACAACTTTCTGCCGGGCTGCCGACTCACCCAGCCCGTGACGTCCACAGGTTCGAACCTTGGAAGGAATAGGAGCAGCGGCCTTCAACACGTCTTCGCACAGCATCATCATGAGAGTTTTCTCGCGGAACATTGATGAAGCATTCGCCGCCGTCGAAGCAGCGGTGGCCATCAGCTTCTCGCTCGGCCCCGTCATCGGGAGCTTTCTAGTCAAAGGCTTCGGCTGGTTTTGGGCGTTCTCGATCTTCGGGACGATCGTGCTTGCGACTATTCCCTTGTCGATCTGGACGTTTTCGAACTACGGGTCGATGAGGTACGTGGATGTGTCCTCGACAGGAAATCGCGGGTTTCTGCCTCTCAGAATCGCTTGCACATGGAATGGCATCTTCGTCATTCTATGCATGCTCGTGACCACTACGGCATTCAGTTTCATCGAGCCCACGCTCGAATTGTTTCTCGAGAACATTCTGCAGAACGAATACAGCATCGCCTTCTACTTCGCCGAGGCCGCTGCTTTCGCCGTATCCGCCCTCATCGTTGCCCCGTTTCTCGCTGCGAGGTATGCGTTCCACCGATCACCCTCTCGAAACAAGAAACAAACGGTAAACAGTATTTTCCCCGATTTTTTCGGCCTGCATCGCCTATTCTCACGTTTGTCTTTTCTTTTTTCATCAGGACCAAGGTGGGAACGATGATCATGGGAACTGTGCTCCTTGCCGTGGCCTTTCTCATCATCGGTCCGAGCAAGTACTTCTTAAGGGAACCGAACGATTTCATGACGATGGCGGGTGTCGTACTCATCGGCTTCAGTTTCGCTCTGGCCTATGTTCCAACATTGGACTATCTGGTTGAAACCGCCGTCAACGATCTAGGTTGCCTTAAGAGTCCGGCGACGTATGGGCCGATTTCTGGCCTCTGGAACTTCTGCAACGGTTTCGGCGAGACGTTTGGTCCAGTGCTGGCCATGTTCCAGACATCGTCAGATTTCAGAGATGCCACCCTGTTGATATCCACGACCTTGTTCTCATCGGTACGTCTCCTTCTAATTCCACAGGACAGAAGGGGTCAATCATTATTATCGATGTTTTTCATGGTCAAGCATGGAGATCGGTTAGATGGAAGTTCCTCCCCAGGTGATCATACTCATGCTTATCGCTTTCTTGGCGAAACGAACAGAAACTGATGCAGCTGAGATGGAAAGAACGATCCTAGGAAAGGCGAAAGTTCGAGACCCTGTGAAGCCTTATCGCACGACTGAAGATCTCAGTCGACACTTGTCGATACTGATCAGTGCCAACGCCTAAGAACTTGGAAGTTTTTCACTGGTGAATTTCTGCTTGCCGTTGGAGTCTAATTTGTAAATATTATGAGTTGCATACCAGTTGACCTCCATATGTTCATAAATCATCCTAGTCCTACAAATTATCTGAAATAAATATTGTAATCTCAATAAAAAGAGGACGTGCTCCAGACACCGACCGATCCCCCTCTTTCCACGGAGAGGTTTCCTCAATCTTCATGCTGTTCCCCCTCGCTCGATCAATACACCTGCACGAGCACCGCAAATATTCGAAGAATTAGAGAGAATGATCTGAGGATAAAGCACGAAGGATATGCCTCGATAACGGCTAGGACCAATCCAGAGCCGTTGCCGAAGGTTCCCGAGCCGATACTGCGGAGAAGACTTACGGATATTCCCATGCTCGGATGACGGAGCCCAAAACATCAATATAGGTTCGGTTTTATGACCAGATTAGGGTCGGAAAATGATGATTCAATCGAGAGTGCGATAGAATCAAGTTTTCATGGACCTCCATCGAATCCCGATTATATAACATTCCTGACTCGATTATATCACCGTGGAATATCCACGCCGTGGATATGGCTTTGCATGATCAACACCCGAGTTGTTGAGGGTAATATAATCGAATGTGATATGATTGAGCTTACACTTCACACTAAATTAGTCGGCGACGACGCCTGCTCAAAGACGTTCCCACGTCAGAAAAGGCTAGCACGGAAGCGGACTTCCCGAGCTCGACTCTGCGCATAAGAGTCACCCGCATCGGGACAGGTCCGGATGAGTGGCGTCCCCTCATTATTTCTTCATCTCGATTGCCCTGAACAATCCGAGAGAACTTCGTCCGAGAGCTTGTTTTCGGAAACTCACCTAGAGCGAGCGAATGTACTCTGGAGAGATGAGCTAAATCTCGCTAACGCTGCTTCTGCCCGCAGAATGAGAGCCCGAGGAGACGATGCGGACTCTCTCTCAGATGAGGCGGGTGTGTGCGAGAATCTAATATTGAACGGTGGCTGTCGCTCGATTCCGCCACTCGGTGTGACTTCCTCTAATTCGTTCTGCGGACCATCTGTTTCACTAGCTAGTCAAGAGTCTCGACTTACCACCGGACAGCTCATCTGGAGTCTGGCAGTATATTCGATGTCACTCAGGCCTTTACAGACGTCTCAATCGGCAGACGAGCTCTCGACCCACCCGGTCTGCTTCGCTTCGATCAATCACACCACCCCCGAATGAGAGTGTCAAGCACAGGGCAACATTGCACATGGTTTCCCTCTCCGAGTTTCCAGCTTCTCAATTTTGCTAGGGATGACCAGATAGAATTCCGCAGAGCTGTCTGCTTCTCGTACAATGGCGCGAATGGATGGCCGATTTGGAGTGCCCTCAATAAACTGCAAAGAGAAAGTCTTTCCTAGACATCAGAGCAAGTCCCCACTCACATCTGAATATCAGCCGATTCCGATTCCCTCCTGAATAGTTTTCGAGAATGTTCCGAAGTTCAGTCCCCCAGTCTCGATGCTAGAAATCCGTTGGCTTGCTCAAAATGGCATTCTAACTCAGACTCGCTATTGGACGAACTTTGAAACGAAATTACTGTCGACAATCTATCCTCTCCCGAACGAACTGCCTGGTCGACGCAGTTTTCGGGAAGATACTCAAACAAGAATATACCATTCAGCGAGCGGAGGGGTTCTAGGGAAATATGAGCCGTCAGTAGGCTGGGACGTTTTTGCTCCGGGAGAACATCCGTAACCTCATGTTTCACAGAGCTCTAAGTGTAGATCCGTGCCTTCTGCTACCGAGCTCCAGCTCTACGATATTCTTTCCGCACGTGCCACGATGAATTCTATGTTGGATGTGCCGAGGGATTCGAGACAGAAATGTGAGTCTGTATCGATAGGAGTAGAAACTACGGAGGAGGTATATGCTTGAGTGTTTCGAGTGGGTTCCCGGACGTGGGTATCATCTCCGCCATCGAATGAGTGTCGCAGAAAACCGCGAATCTCGACTCTTCCAGCACGTGTTCAATATCGCCACATCCTTTCCATCCTCGGATTTTTCGGGCTATTCTGCATGTACGTCAACCGGGTCAACATCAATGTAGCACTCGTGGCTATGGTGCATAAGCCCCATAACGCCTCAGCGGAGTTCCACCCCTCGAAAGGCAACTGTCCGCTACCCTCTGCTGGAAACGGCAGTTCGCCTGACCCAGATGCAATGAAGGTATCGGGCCGGTGCAGTGTCTTTGAAAACGATGACAGATTGTACAATCAAATATTAACTAGGAAGAACCATTCGTCCGCATTTTCTGACCCAAGGAATTCTCTCCAGCCAGGGCCGTTCGATTGGGATACCTACACTCAAGGCTTGATTCGGGGAGCTTTCTACTACGGCTACATCATAACGGGAATCCCGGGCGGCAGACTCGCCGAACGCTATGGTGCCAAATGGCTGTTCGGGCTGGGCACGCTGATAACGGCGCTCTTCAACTTCATAATACCTACGCTCGCCTATCACGGGGGTGCTCCAGCTCTGATTACTGTCAGAGCGATTCAGGGCTTCTGCGAAGGCGTCACCTTCCCGGCTGCGGAAGCCCAGTGCGCTCACTGGTACCCTATCAGCGAGCGCACGACCGGTATCGCCTTCATGCACGCTGGCGGCTTCCTCGGGGCTACGACGGGCTTGTGGATTTCGGGAGTGCTCGCTGGGTCGTCATTTCTCGGCGGTTGGCCCTCGGTTTTCTATTTCTCGGGGACCGTCGCCCTCATTTGGTTCGTGTTCTGGACGGTGCTGGCCTCGGACCGGCCTGGGAACCATCCATTCATATCGCAAGACGAGCTGGACTACATCCATGCAGGCCTCGGAGACGACAAGCCGATTAACGTGAGTTCCCCACACTGCTCAAGAATGCAGCCGAGCAGCATGAAGATGCGATTTGAGGGAATTTCCCGCCCCGCTGAGGCTCCCCAAGGGCCAGACTGTGACTCAGGAGAGATGTTGGTTCTGTGGGATCGAGCTCTTTCCCGGAACGTATAACGCGCGATTCCATCCAACTAGGCCGAGCACACACCGTGGAGGCGGATTCTCACTTCGAGGGGTGTATGGGCTCTGATCTGCGCTCATTTCGGAGTTCATTGGCTACACTACATGCTCATCTCCGAACTTCCAACTTATTTGGCACGAGTTTTGCACTTCAACGTAGAAAAGGCAAGGCTTCTTGGGTACGAGTCCCACACTGCCCAGTCCCGAGTGTGTCGAGATCTCCTCGGGCTGGTGCGTGCGTAAATGCATTTTCCCACACCTCGATAAAAAAAAAATTACACCCGGAGCATCAGTTCGCGTACCTGCGTACCGTCTCCCCTTGGCGTACGCTCCTTCCAATACCTCCGCGATGTGGGAGAGCAGATAACTGTCAACTCTCCTCAACTCGGAACGGCCCCCATTGGCAAATTTTAGTAACTTTGAAGGTACCCGGCCGATGCTGTGGTAAATTAGAATTTCTCGAATCAGAAGTCTTTGTTGGAGCTCATGGAGCTCTTCGTAAGTCATAACTTTGTTAGGACCGTCAAAATGCGAGTGCCGAGGTTCTGAGATAGGCAGACTCGACATCAGTGAGATCCTCGAAGACCTCTAAGAGATGTGCCGCTTTTCTGGACGCTTCGTCCGAAATTCTAATTTCTATAGAGACTTAGCGGAGGCCCACCGGGACGTTTTGACCGTCTTCCCCCTGGTCAGCCCTTGCACGCCTGGTGACCTCTCGGCTGGGATTTCTCAAATAAAGCATTCCTCTAATTGTACAGGGGGGACTCTATACCGCGCTACCCTATATTGGAGCATCGATATTAGGCGCTTTCGCGGGACCCTGTGCTGATTACATCAGGAGCCGCCGAATCCTCACAGCAACGAATACACGCAAGCTCTTCAATGGTGTCTGTGAGTAGAAGCTTTCGAGTCTATTCCTCGTCGACCGATTTCGGAAGGTGAGAGTTTGTAATGTCGTCGATCCAGCTAATTATGATCATCGAGAGCCTCCTTCATCATCAGCGATGTTCATCCCATCGATCGTACTCATAATCGTCGTCCACGTTGCCGCCTGTGATGGCGTGACATCTCTCATACTATTTGTGATCGCCGGAACGATCCGGGGGATATCCGAAGCGGGCTACATCTCGGTACCTGTAGATCTCGCTCCGGACTATGCGGGGACGATATTCGGCTTGTGCATGACCATCGGCAACACCACTGGATTCATCGTGCCTTGGATCACCGCAATATTTATCCATGAAGAGGTGAGCACCCACAATGTGACGACCCATTGAGTCTGAGCCATTCAAGGCCTGAATTGAACTCACGGGTTACGAGCTCTTTCCTCCCTATCTGCCATTGTTGTAAAATGTTTTACAGCAAACCACAACCGCGTGGGCTCGAGCGTTTTACACGGCGGGAGCTGTGGGAATCACGACAGGCATCATATTTCACCTGTTCGGAACCGCCGAGACGCAGGATTGGGGATTGGCGTCGCGACCGATTGAACTCAAGTCGAAGGACGATGGAAATTCAGAGACCCAAGGAAAGTGAACAGATTTCCCTCGATCTCAAGATCCGTGTCGGCCGCCGTGCAAATCGCACCATGTACGGAGCCTAGGACACTTCTCGCGATATAGCATTCCGCTATTGCAATAAAATCTATTTCGAAGTCGAATGCCGGGTATGCCATCGGAATGAATTACTGTCGATTGTCTGTCGATTCTCCAATAGTATTTCATGGATCGTGTCATATGAGATGTGATAACTCATCGGAGAGCTGAGCCCAACAATTGGAACGAGAAAAGAGTGGTTCCGTAATATCGTTCGGTAGTACTATCGCAGCCTCCTGATACCTCGGAAGTTTCCGATTTGAATCCTCGAGCTCCGAGAGACTGACACGAAGAGCACATACCGATATTCCTAAGCTGCCATCAACAAGAACTGCTTGGGTACGCCACTCCTCCCGTGGAGAACCTTGGCGATCCATCTACCGCAGAGTCTCTCCCCGAAGTCCGTAGGCAAGTCAGGCTGGACTTAAGTCTCGACTGGGTATATTTCGAAAGCAGGTCGTCGACCCCGACCTTGTTGATGCCGAGCTACATGGTCTAGATAAATAATAATCGAGGACCCGGAGGGTTCATGAGCTCATGCAGCGCATGTAGTAAATAAAAAAAAAACTTTTTACGGGCTGATCCACACAGCCAATGTTTGACGTCCCGGGCACTCTTATTCACATTGCTTCCGAGGACGGAATGTAGTAAATCAGACGCAATGATATGTGCTACATGAAGGCGAAGCTCGGAGGCCCTTGATTTTTGCGAGGCTCTGATGATTTGCCCGAACTCCGACTCTTCGCGGGGAAAATCACCAAGTAACTGATGCTTCAGCGGAGTCTTCTACTTCCGGAGGCAACATTCCACTGGACAAGTCAACATTCCGATGCTTTTACAATGCGCTTGCGTCACCGCAGGCTCTAAATGAGTCGTATCTCAACGATACGGACTCAAATCCACTCATATGGGGGTGAGGGGGAGAGCCTAGAGTCGTATTTTGAATGGTCTCCATGCTGGCGCCTCGAGCTGAATGAGTACCCGAGGGGTGGGGGCATGATATTCAGGAGGGAAAGAAGTTTTCGGAAACGAACGCGAGAACTCTGCTGTGTTTGCGATTCCTGAGGGTAGGAGGTTTCCGAACATGCAAATTCATGACCGTTTGGCGGAAGATCCCCTCCTCAATTGTTTGGAGCTAGATCCGTCTCAAGAAGAACACGTTCGGGCTCAACGACAAGTCCAATGGAATTTCGGGGACATGAGCAGCTCAAGTTTTGCTGCCCATGCGGTTTAATAGTCTCAAAACGAGATGTAGATGGCACCCTCGCTCGCTCACTTCCTCCATCTCTTTCCACGTTGACGGCTCCCGCTCTAGGAAGTCTCCTTTAAACTAGCGGATCAGGACAGGTAAGGTCTCCGTGAATTCCTTGGCAGGTGAGCCCGTGAATGAATCACACTCTTTCACCCCTACAAGACGGTCATTGAGCGCGGCAAAGTGAGCGCTCACAGCTGCGCTGCCGGGCTCAGATTCATCTGCCGTCGAGACTGAACTTTCCAGCGAAAAGTGACAGCAGCCGGCTATTCGCGAGGCCGATCCTCGCGGAACTGTTTGTGCTGATAATTGTCGGAGTAAACTGTTAACGTTCAGACTTCCCTGTGGACGGATCCGGATCTGATCTACTTGGAGAAAAATCGCCTCCATTGTTCCACAGCTTGTCTCCTCGCCAGTTCGGCCTACTGGAGATTTTCCAAAGGTGGAACGAATCTCTGGGATGCTCTCCAGTGACAACGTGAGGGGAAACATTCTGAAAACAACGCGATGCGACTCGAATCTCCGTCCAAAATCGCTCCGGACGAGAATGCACGATCGGGGACCGTGAATAATTATCGGAGAAAACGCCCAAAGACATGTAAGCCAATATAACAGTTGTCACGGGCGGCTTCTCCCTGATCGCGCTGCATAGGTCTGTAGATTTCGTATCCGGTTTCTGCGAGAGATCGATCAGATCGGCGAATCATCTCGACCCAAATTTTTTCACACTCGCAATTCCTTTTGAGAATTATAGGGTCACCCCCTCGCGAGCAGCACCACCAAAAAGAATGGCCATACGTCAGAAGTTTGTTCTAAAAATTCCACAAGTGTAATTTTGCTGTAATCATTCAGTCTCGAACGAATCCTTCTCGAAGAAGAAATGGAACATTCCACAATCGCGCACATCTAGCGTCTCATAAAGAATGTCGAGCTCGCAATGCTCTCCATAAATTCCACCTGCTCAGGAATAGCGAATCTCGAGCTCTCTCAGTTCTTTTTGAGCTATTCGGACTTGTTCTCCTGTTCACGTTGGGCGAGATCCCGATAACCTCTGTTTCCTTTCAATTTGTAGCAATTTGGCCTCGTCAATTCCTCGAACCCGAATCCTTGTTGTTGGCTCGAATAACTCCCCTCCGGGGTTCCCCATACCCCCGCCTCACTTCATCATTCCATCGAAACCTCTGTTCCCTAATCCGAAGTCATGGAGCAATGTACGCGGTCATCCGAATATCGAGGGGAAGATTCCGCTGTCTCGAGCGGAATCGGCTCCATGGAACCTCTTCCCGTGATCCTGAAGCCATCCCGAAATTCCAGCATGGATTCAGTATCGTTACGTTCTCATAATCCTCGGATTCTTCGGTCTTGCTTCTGTTTACGGCATGAGGGTCAATATCAACGTCGCAATGGTGGTGATGGTCAACCAATCTGCGATCGAGGCCGAGAGTCCATCCTTGAGTTGTGAGGTCGTGACAGCGAATGGCACTGGGGCGGCACCTAAGGTTGAGGTATCGTATCGATTCCGTAGGGAAATAAATACGCATCGATTCCGTAAGGAACTAGTCACTTGTCGCAACACCGTACCGAAGACTTCATCACGCGATTCTCCGCAGGATGGTCCCTTCCAATGGGACCGTTACAGTCAAGGTTTCATACTCGGGGCTTTCTACTACGGATACTTGTTCACCCCGATTCCCGGAGGTCGGCTGGCGGAGAGATTCGGAGCTAAATGGCTCTTCGGTTTTGGAACCTTAATCACTGGACTGCTCAGTCTTCTGATTCCGTACGCAGCGTTCAATTACGGCGCCGCCGGCGTCGTGACGCTCAGAGTACTCCAGGGTCTCGGTGAAGGGGTCACTTATCCTTCGATGGAAGCTCAGGTCGCTCATTGGCTCCCAGTCGGGCAACGAACCACAGGCATCGCACTGATACACACAGGGGGATTCTTCGGAGTTGTTGCGGGTATGGCGATCTCAGGAATTCTGGCCGACTCGAATATCATGGGAGGTTGGCCGTCCGTGTTCTACTGCTTCGGCATTTGGTCAATCATCTGGTTCATATTCTGGGCGATTTTCGTATCTAACCGACCGGACGACCATCCATGGGCTTCCCAGGAAGAAGTTGACCTCATAAGTAACGACCTCGGCACGCAAAAACCAACGCACGTGAGTAGCGCTAGATTGCTTCTCTTTAGCCTCACACTCCTCTGCCGTACTCCTGACTTACTGTAAGACGATGTGTTCCGTGCTGCTTGCAGGCATCTTATACACCATGGAGGAAGATTCTCACATCGCCGCCTGTCATCGCGGTGGGTGTTGCGCAATTTGGAGCGAACTGGCTGCAATACACTCTGGTCACCGAGCTCCCGAATTTCCTGGGAACCGTCCTCCACTTCAACATAAAAGATGTAAGAAATTAAATCGCCGGCATAGTTGAACTTTCGATGGATGCGGGTCCTCGTCGGCTCTCGACCGGAGAAGGACAAGCCTACGGAGGAGCTGTCACTTGGCGTTCTGATTCACGTGTCTCCACGCGGAGTTATTCCAAGCTGTCGGATACCCATGCTCCTGATCCTCCCTCGCAGAACGGGATCTACTCGTCTCTGCCCTACCTGGGCGCCATGGTCGCCGGCGCGACGGCCGGTCCTGTTGCGGACTACTTGCGTCGACACGAGTACATGACCAATACGAACATCAGGAAACTATTCAACGGAATGGGTAAAGATGTCTGGATTGAAACCTTAGAACCATAAAGTCATGGGGATGGAGGAGGTGGGATATATCGCGTCGCCTCAGGCGATTGCCATGCTTGCATCAAGAAAGACCGCTGACCAAGACGTCGAGAGCTTTCTCTTGTCAAGTAAACGACTCCCGTTCCTCCAGCGCTGTTCGGGCCTTCGGTATTGCTGATTTTCGTCACCTGGATTGCTGGCTGTGATGGAGGACTGTCGCTGCTCATATTTGTGATAGCTGGGACCCTGAGAGGGTTCTGCGAGGCCGGTTACATGTCTGCTCCGGTGGATATGGCCCCTGACTACGCCGGGACTATCCTTGGCATCACGGTGTGCGTCAGTCAGACCACAGGATTCCTCGTGCCTTGGATCACTGGCCTCCTGACTCAGAAAGAAGTGAGCTACCACTCCGTCCCTCTCGGAACTGGATCCGTACTTCCTCCCTTCCATTCCCGTACTTCGTCCCCGTGCGTTCCGAGTGATGCACGTGTGCCCGGAGATATGTCGGCCCGGCAACTCAATTATTAACGACCGTTTTCTCTTCCAGAATTCCCTCACTGCATGGTCCTACACATTTTACGTCACCGCTTGCATTGGATTCGTTTGCGGCCTTTTCTTCCAATTGTATTCGTCTTCCGAGATACAGGAGTGGGGTCTGGCGCCTCGGGACGAACCGGCTGTTGATCAGAACAAGACAGACGGTGCTGAACATAGCTCGAAAATGTGACATCCTCGTTGTAAATACGCTTCGAAAAACATTGAGAAGAAATCACCCATCTCCCATTACGTTCATAATCAATTGACGTTTATTTCCGATGGCCGCATGGCTCATGTAAAGCATCTAGTGAGCCTGAAATCAATGAGACTCGCAGATTCAGGACATTGAAACTTTATTTGTCCGCCTCCCGCGGGATGAAACACCTGTCAATGACCTCATCCTCATTCAGCATGGGAAGGAGCCCTCTGCGAGGCCTCATGACTCTCTCAATGAATTGATTTCACATCATGCATGATCTCTCCGAGCAGTCGGAGTATCTGAGGCTGCCAGTAAATACCTGTCGTCTTATCTAGGCAATGCTATTTCAAATGTTTTTAAGCAAGTGATCGACACATGAAGTACCATTGGCGTGCTCTGGAGCCTCCCATAATATCACGAGTTCATTTTTATTGATCGAGTGAGGCTCACGGTATCGAGCCTTTGGAAACAGCCGTCCGCGAAGGGATCGCTTCGAGCAACCGCTCAATGATTGCGATGCGCGAAGCCGAGAGAAGAAACTTCGGGAGGCTCTTGCAATGATGGCACATTTCCGAAAGAGATTCCCGGAATCATAAGACTTCTCTGAGAACGGAGCATCCCATTGTTTCGAGGGAGCTTCCCTGGATTCGCGGCCGCTTTTACTCTTTTCTCAATCATGAATGCAGGTCTGAGAAATTCAGTAGGCGATGTTGTCTCAGCGCCGCGATCTGGTCAAGTGAGACCAGAGTCTCGAGGGTGAAAGCCCGTTGAAGCTCACCGGATCGGCCGTAGCGAAGCTCAGGTCTCGTGCAGCTATCTGATCGGGGTGACACTCCTCGAGCGCTGCAGTAAGACGTGATGGTTCTTCAATCGCAGAGCATCAAACTCTCTCAGGCCATGAGGATCGTAGGGACCGTAGCCTCCGTCTTGATGATGGAAGTCCTCCCGTGTTCCATAGGCAAGCCCGACTTGGGTATACCTGAGAGTCAGATACCAGATTAGACAATCTTCGGGGGGAGGGGAAGGGGGCTATTCACGTATTCAAATATGGAAGCTCTGAAGTGCGGACCTGTATCTCGGAGGGGAGGCTTCGAGCTGACGTGGGAAGGGGAAACCGCCGTATTGCCGGTCCAGCGGTGGGCGGCCTCGCTCATCGGCAGACGTATCGAATGCCTGGGAACGGTGGACGTCAGAGATCGGAATGCTTTTTAGGAAACTTTGAGTGGCGGATATCTTCATCAGTAGCAACAACCATCCTCATATCACAGTGAATCCGCACATTCGCGAATCTCTTGCCGGTCAACTTGTGGTTACCTGGTTTGAGATGAGCGTCGGATGCCCGATGATACGATTGGCGTTGACTTCATGATTCCAGATCCTCTGAGCTTTGATGAAACGTTCCCCCTCATACTGCTCAATATTCGGTGTAAGGAGCTTCGGTCTCCTGAGCGGCATCCGCGATCCTGCCTGTCGGAAATCCGATGATTTTGCTTGTTTCTGTGCTGGCTTATCAATCGAGAGTCATTCATTCAGGGTTTGCGCATGGAATCAGAACAGTTTAGGAATCTGATGATGTCAGCGTGTTTATGGATAGTACGTGAGCGATTGCATCAGAAGCTGCGCTGGTTTCAGTTGAAGGAGACAGTATCGAAGAATACACTCACTGATGGTATGTGGGAAGTGATATAGGGCGTCGCCGGAGGGAATATATCATAGGCGGGTGAAAGTTCCTCTTGAAAGGGATGGAAGAACGGGTTCAAAAGTATTCCATCGGAGTCTCTCAAGATCGCTTCACCGGTTTCTAGCACGGGCAGCAGCAGCAACTGTGAAATCGGAGTTTTTACCATTAATAATTGGAGAGAGCCATGAGAACAAGTTCGATTGCCTAGATGGAGGGGGATCTAAGCTTTAATATACGCCATCGGTGACCTCTTACAGGGAGAATAGCTGTGAAAATGCCTCAGATCGTCACAGGCTCAAAGAATCCCATTCAGTCTCCGCTCATGCCTCAATCAGCAGAAGACTGAAACTTGAATTCAATGGACTTGTGATGCTTTTTTTGATGCATCATTTTTCCGAAGAAAGCAAGACAACAATGGGTCAATGAATATTCTGGGTGGAATGAACACGCACAATGCGTCGACAGCTTGATCTCACTCTTCCCTCGTCGTCATCTGTGTTCTATTGTACGGGAGAACACACTTCCGAACGTCATGGGTTCCGCATATAGTCTCGGTGAATCCTCGCTCAAGATAAATCTGAAGATGATGTAACGCATTTCCGCAGTGATCGATACATTTCAGCCGAAGCGTGCGCTTCCGCATCACCGCAATCTCTCGCAGGTTCCGAGCGGCTCGGACATCTTCCGAACTCGCCTCGGCCAATGCCGCGCCTCCGAAGCCGATGTTCCGGTGATTCTGGTGTGTTCACTGGCCTGCGTTCCGAACTGCCAAAAAGAAGCGCCTCTGCTGGGATCGAATATCGTGCGAAAACTGCCAATAGTAGTCCATCAAGCCTCCGATAGCCATGGGGTTCAATGAGTGATTATCAGAGAAGTACATAATTCCTTTGGCGAGTGGAAAAATCGGGAGCTTGCGATTTCTCCGAGGCGGAACACGCGGCATGGGGCGGTATGTAGAATCAGCAGTGAAAATATGCGGAATATGTGCGTCCCGCGAAGAACTCAGAGATCCTTTCGATTGAGTCATTTGCAGGTCTCCTACTCGCTTATTGATGGAAGGAGGGCAATCGACCCGGTTTTCCATCAACGGAAGGTTAACTCCTCGATAAAGAGAGAGAAGTGTATCGGGTCGGGACACTACGACGGGAGCAGTCATGAGGCATCGCCTTTCCTCCGGAACCCGCCAGAGCAAAGCCAACAGACTTCAATCATTTGACCACGAACGCAGATTATTCCAGGAGAGGGAATTCAACAATTACCTACTCAAATTAAGTAAACGTTGTTGCCAACAAGGCGACCGACGGTTCTTATCCTGGAATTTCTGTATCGATGAGATTCCGGAAACTGTTCCTCCAAGACAGTTGCTGACCTTGAGGGTTGTTACATCCGTAATATTGTTTAAAGTATTCCCGAAGATTCGTGCCTCCTCATGTCCTAATTGACAGGCGATGCCATGCCAGCTATAGTCTGGCGCTTGCTGATTTGGCTTCCTTTTCCTATGGCTAACCCTTCGATCGAATCATCTCCTCATCATGCCGAGCTAGACAGTCAGCCCAAAAACTTACCGATCCGAAGACCACGGTCTTCATTTCCCAAGCTAGATTCGTCCGGGAATGCCTTTGCGAGGTTCGCTCTATGATTCCGGATCGGGCGCTCAAAATTTTTCGACCTGCAATGCGCAACTGTTGACCGCAAGAGAATGACTGAATGATGAGAATCCAAGCAAGTGGTACTTGAATGCTCTCACATCTCAATCCTTTCGTTTCTCTTTCAAAGAATTTCGACATCACCAACATCAGAGACCCTCAAATCGCCACACGTTGGGGCTGGGAAGCCGCGGGTCCTGTGACCTCAACCAGTCCACCGAGTTCCGAGTGGAACCATAAGTGAAAGTATGCAGAAAAGACACTTGAGGCGTGGGACACATTCGGTTCGATTTTGGCGGAACCGTCTCACTTCATATATCGCGAAGAGTAAGTAATCATTTTCTTGGAAACGAAACGCTCAAGGATTCTGGAGGGCGGATCGTGGCGGGAAATACCCAATCCCATCGGCACGCATCGGTGTTCAGAGAACTTCACCCAAGATATCGGAACAGTGAACGAGGAGCGGTTCCTCCGAGATTCGGAATCATCAGAGATCTTAATCTGAGTCCTGGGAGTGACCTCAGATCCCGGAAAGTACTCAGACCGCGGATGGTAGGTCAACCCGACATTATATCGGGAGAGATTTGCAGAACTCACCTATGGATGGGACAGACCAATCCTCGGCTGCTCGAGAAGCGGTCAGAAGAATTCCCTCTGATATACTTACTGCTTCAACCAGAGATATTCATTAAAGCAGCTCCTACGCTTGTAGGCGGTTCGAATGAGAAGAGCTTGATTTTTGTAAATGACATTGGTTCTGGCCGTTTGTTTCCTTTGATAGCTCCCGTCACCAATCCACTCAGAGCACCGACTGGCTCCGAAATTGTTTCGATTATTGTTCACCGATGCACCGCGTATCAGAAGTCAGAAGCCGGTCGACCACGCCAGGCGGATAAACAGCTGATGGCAATTCTTGAAGTTATCCGGATGACTTCGAAAAATAGGTCGGCAACCTCACCGTTACTGGTAGGAATCACTAGAGCCTGCTGCTAGTTCATCGATTCAAAGCACAAAACTTGACTTCATCCATTGCTCGGAATTCGTGCGAAAAAAGAGAGACGGCGCATTGAATTCACGGTTCCGTTGTGGGACTGAAAGTATCCGAAGCCGTGGCGAAGAGCCTCCGGGGCGGCCATCCAACAAGAGTCGCGCAGGGCAGCGAGAACTCTGGTTCCACAGGAACTTAGTGAGGAACGTGCATTCCCTCGATTATTGCGGCGAATGGGATAAGCCCAGCGCCGAGTGTATCACGCAGCCTTCTCGATCTCGAGTTTCATCTTCTACCCTCATCCAGATTGGCGGTCTCTTTGGAATTCGAGCTCCGAAGGCATGCAGAAGATCGTGCGCCTTCATATGAGATCCGAAAGAGCGTTTCAAGTTCACAAAGAATGGGCGAGGAAGCTCTCTATTGCCGCGATTCCGTGGTTGACGTCCCCGTCAAATTTCGAGGTCGGGTCATCATCGGGGAGTATCAGATGATTCTTCCAACAGATTAATTATGTATTCGAAACCGCGTCACCGACTGAGATCCCGGAGGCCGGAGGGTATTCCCCTGCCTCGTCATTTTTAATTCCCGGTCACTTCTAATGAGAGAACAGCTGAGTAGACGACGGGTGGTTTGATGAATCACGCCGAAGTGCGCCGTCTCTTCACTCAATGAGGTC